TTGGCATGTATTGGTCTTTTGCCTGCATGTCTGTCAGAGCACCCTTGTTATGCAGTTCCTGCAGAGGTCAGGAGAGGGTTTTGGATCCTCTGGAATGGGATGTTTAAAGAGAAAAGACTACTGCTTTTTAGACAAAATCTGTTTTGTATGGTAGTATTGTTCTAATATATGACTTATTCCCCAATGGAAACGGGATAAAGTGATGACAAAATCAGCAAGCTTCAAATGGTTATTACTGGTTGTGTAAGTTACAAAGAAGTTTATAAGTGATAAAAGGGAAGATTACATGTATGTAAAGGACTATATTCTAGGAAATATCGACTGTTACTAGGTACTTATTTCACTAATTGGCCTACTCTAGACTACACTTCTAAATTTTGTGTCTTAGAGTTTATGGCAAATTAAGGTAGTCAAAAACAGCCAGCAAATATGAGTACAACAAAAAGCCCAGTTGAGTACTTGAAACTTTGAAATTGTTTTCCTTGACCGATCGATATCTAGAGGTCACAGCAACCCGACGAAGAGATTTAAGAGGGGGAGTGATTATCATAGGTGAATATAAACCAATGGAAAAGAATACTCTTAATGGAATTCTAAAAGAAAATGGGCTTCCCACCCCCAACCCCATGAAAGTAAGTGAAGTCACTGATGAGGTACACTGTCAGTTTCCCTCATGTGAGGATGGGACTTCCACTCCAGTGATGGCTGAGCTTGAAGGATAATGCTGGAAAAGGTTTGGTGGTGGAATCCCCATTCAAACTGTTACAGCCCACCACCAAAGCATCTCAGTAACTCTGGACCTCATAGGTAAGGTGATTTTATTTTCTGTATTGAGGCTTCTTCTCTGTCTTAGTAATTTGCCAGTTTTCTAAATGGATTCGTTGGGAATCCATTGTTCTACTCTTGGCAAAACTGAAGCCTAAGAGCTGTTATTTTCAGCTTTATTCCCCCAAATTTCAGATATATTCCTATATAATGAGAAGATAAGATCTGGCACTGAGAGGTATTCCCTAAAGTTTCCAGCTAGACTTTGTAACGGAATAGCCAGGATGTGTCCTAGCTTCAACACCTTTTAGGCATCTACTGAGGCTACCGTCATGACACTGAAACCTGATTCTGAGGATTTAAACGAAAGTCTATCTTAGAGAAAGTCAGAGAAGAAATGGACCAAACAAAATAAAAGTAAGACCTTGAGTGTGATCCTGCTAATCACATCAGTGCTAGGTCATACAGTTCATAGGTGAGACACTCCAACTTTACTGTAGAGCTTCACCTGTAGAAGTCATTTCAGATTATGTGACATTAATTCCCAACCCAGTGCTAAAGTGCTAAATTCCCTGCCCATATTGTGGACGAGAATGCTTTCAGAGACACATGGTAGGATGCAGAGGTCTCTCATAGGGATGTCTCCAGGGAATCTCTTGTATTTCTAAGGACCTGTATCATCCCTGTCCACACATTTCCCCCTTTTTAGGATTCCAGTGGAACACCCTGTTAATCCTGTTGAATACTGTAATTGGCTGTATCCTTGACTATTGAGAGTGAGGAATGAAACCTTGACCATTTGACCATGGTATCTTGAAGAGGCATTGCCTTGTTATTATTCTACAATTCCTTCTAGCCACAATAAAATTTAAACAAAAAGAGTGATGGCCACTTAATGGCACATTAATTACAACAGAAGTCATATTTCAATGATTTATTTCCTAAAACAAGACAAGCAGTTGGAGGTATCATTTATACAGGGTTTCATCCTACTTACAACTCCCTTTATTTTATTTTATTTTTTTATAAATCACCCAGGAAATGCTAAAAGGAAACTGCACCCTGAAACTTTGACACTAAATAATGTATTCCTGAGGTCCATGTCACTCTGTGGGGGATCACAGCAGATGTTCCTCCTCCCTAATGTTCACCAACCAAAATTCTAATAATGTTATCAAATAAAATCTGAATTCTGGAGACCTCCCCATTTGAGAAGAAATGTGCCTACCTGATGTCACCACCAATGCATTTAATAGTACCTTGGCATATAACACTGTTCTTTTACTACAAAAAGGGAGGAAAAGTCATGCTACTGTAATGACTTGGCTATATGTGGTTTGAGGTAAGCTAAATCTGTGTTCCTTGGCCATACTGACATATGGTTCTGGAATTAATTTCATATTGTGTTCTGAATATGTGTAGCTAAAATTCCTTCTAGGGGGTGTAAATGTCGCCCCTTCTCCTTTGCTCCTTACGACAGAGGGAGCCTTGTTTCTGTCAAACTACAGCCTGGGAAACCATTGACATGTTGGGCTTACTTACAGATCATTGGGTAAAGATTGACTTACAGGAATATGGTTGCACCTCTTACTACATTGGGAAGTCTTCACTCAAGCATGGATGGTGACTTTTCCACATCCTCACAAAATGGCAGGGGATCCTCTCCCATGGCTTCCTTAGTTTATATACCCTTAGGCCCTCACCTTGATGCAACTAGAGCCAACTGGTTGATTGGGAATTGTGGCTGATTTGCCCTGCCCATCCTCCTCTGCAGAGCATAACATTCAACATACCTAGCACCCACCTTATGAAGATGGCATCTGTCCATAGTTGGTAGGAGGACAGTCCTGTGCAACAATATTTTCGTGTGTGTGAACACTTGGTCCCAGACTTGTTACTTTGTTTTTTAATATTTGGAATCTTTAGGAAATAGAGTCTTGGTAGAGGACATGGGTCCCTGGGAACTGACTTTGAAGTTTTATACAGACCCTTAATTCCTGTTTGTGATCTGATCCTGCTGACAGACGCAGTGCGAACACCTGGACTCTCCTACTCTCACCATGCCTTCCCTACAGTGATGGACTGCATCCCCCGAAAAGGTAAGCCAGAATAAACCCTTCTTTTCTTGTAACACTTCATCCCAGGTATTTTGCTATAGCTGTGAGAAGAGTTACTAAAGAAGCTCATATTTCCTTTGAGTTTAGAGTTTTTTTGTTGATGATGTCATATTCCCTTTGAATTTAGGTTTTTTGTTGTTGGTGGTGTGTTTTTTGTTTGTTTTATTATTTATGAATGTTTTTCCTTCATGTATATATGTTCACCCATATGTGCAATGCCCAGGTGTCCAGAGACGGTGTCAGATCCCATGGAAATGTCATTATCCACAATTGTTACCAGCCATTTGGGGGCTGCGAACTGAATGCAGGTCGTCTGTAAGAGCAATGTGTCTTCTTAAATACTGAGTCATCTCTCTACCTGTGAAGTATAATTTTATTTGGTCTGTTTGAGACAGGGTCTCCCTGTTGCCCCAGCTGTCCTGGAACTCACTATGTAGACCAGGCTGGCCTTGAACTCACAGAGATCCGCCTGCCCTGAAGTATAATTTTATTGGTATCTTTTCTGCGTTCATGTGGTACACTGAAGATAATCTTCTTTCAATAGTGTGCTTAACTATTCTGCATTGCCTCCTCACATGAATGTTGGTTATTTCTTTAGGGGACTTAGTCCTTCTTTGCTTTGCTTGATTGTCCATTGGTTTAGGATAAGCTGGTTATTGAATCCTGTCCTAGTTACTTTCTATCACCGTGATAAAAACACTGACTAGAACCAACAAGGGGAGGAAATGCTTTATTTGGCTTGCAGCACAGTCCATCATCAAAGAAAGTCAAGGCAGGAACTCAAGGCATGATCCTGGAGGCAGAAGCTGATGGAGAGACCATGGAGAAACAGTGGTTACTGTCTTTCTCCCTGGCCTGTAATCTCAGACTGCTTTCTTATACATCACAGGACCACTTTCCCAGGAGTGGCATGGCCCACAGTGGGCTGGGCCCTCCCACATCACAC